CTTTAGGACATCCTAACCTCAACATCCAACGTGATCGTCTTGCCCGTCAGGGTCTTCACGAAGATCTGCATGCCTCCTCGGAGCCTAAGCACCAAGTGGAGCGTGCTTTCCTTAGTTCAGTAGAGGACGACCCCCCCCTTAGAATTTACACGTCCTTTTGGGAATGTTGCTGTTGGTGATGGTGATGGTGATGGCGGTGGTGGTGATGGTGAAGGTGATGGTGGTGAAAGTGGCGATGGTGGGTGTGTGCGTGTGGGTGCCGGCGCACATGAGAGGAACCCAGCCTTGAGAGCCAGACTGTTTTGACCCCTCAAGGGGCCCAGCCTTACCACTTAGATGTTTTGACCCTTGGAGGGGCCCAACCATACAAGCTAGATGTTTTGACCCCTGCCCAGCCTTGCAAGCTGTTTTGACCCCTGGGGGGGCCCAGCCTTGGAAGACAGACCTTTTCTCAGCCTTACAAGCTAGATGTTTTGACCCCTGGACGGGCCCAGTTTACAAGCCAGATGTTTTGATACCTGGCTTACAAACCAGATGTTTTGACCCCTGGAGGGGCCCAGCCTTCGAAGCCAGATGTTTTGATCCTTGGAGGGGCCCGGCCTTAGAAGCCTGATGTCTTGACCCCCTGGAAGGGCCCAGCCTTACAAGCCAGATGTTTTGACCCCTGGAGGGGCACAGCGTCACAAGCTAGATGTTTTGACCGGGAGAGGCGCAGCCTTACAACCCAAATGTTTTGACCCCTGGAGGGGCCCTGCCTTAGAAGCAGAGGCCAGCCTTACAAGCTAAATGTTTTGACCCTTGGAGAGGCCAGCCCTACAAGCTATGGAGGAAACCACAACAAAAACAAGCACCAGGTTGATTACGCGCAATTTATGCTCTAGCATACAAAAAACCAAACATTCACGAATAAGGTTCATTATTCCTGGTTACGAGGCAGTTTGAAACTGACTCCAAGAGTAAGGCTCATCCTCCCTCATTGCAGTTGTGAGGACTGGTCCAAAATAGGTAAAGTACCAAAATACAAGCAAGTATTCATATTATAAATTACAATCGGAAGACATTTACATTGAGTTCGAATTTCTCAGGTTTCAAACTGCGAGCTTTTAATCTTTAATGTATCCGCAAATATTGATATATACGTTTTTTGCTTTGTTTTAACCGTTTTTACTATGTATATTTTAAGTCCTGGCCAGTGCAATGCAAAACAACTATTGTCAGTCTACCCGCCTGGGTCTTAATAGGGGTAATAGGGGCTACCCCGATACCACGAAGAGCTGGCCCAAAAAAAGCAACGAGAAGAGGAGAGAATCGACAGGAGGCTGTGTGAGACAAGCCTCGCCTTGTTGAAAGTTGGCTGGTGAGATTTTCGAAAAAAAGGGGGTCGTCCAATTCGTTTCGAGCCCCCCCAGCAAGACTACTTTCAAGGCAATCTGGCCTCTCAGCCGGATCCAACATGGATATCAAAACACTCACTTTTTTGGGGACGTCTCGCGAGAGCGCGATTCATTAAAAAAACCGAGCGCGTCCAAAATGTTTGCGCGACGGAAGAGCACGCTGCGGGCACCGGGCGACACACTTAATAATTAGAACCCTACAATGAATGTAGGGACATACGTCCTAACCTGGCTAATGCCAGCAAGTTCCTTTTGGATATTGTGTGGCCCTCGTTCGCCCGATCACCGAGCTTGAGGTGGGTCAGAAGACTCCATCACAAACCTCCGGTCGCAGTACCCACTGCTCATAAAGATCACTCGCTCATACAGAGAAGGTAGCACTGGCAGTCTCATGCGGTAGCTCCAGGTGCAGGAAAGCAGTCAGCAGGAGAAATAACTGTTCACCACGGGAATGTCACGCAGAAATGAATATGCGAGAAAAATTCCAGCGAAAAGCACGTGCAGCAGCCACCAGCTAAATCAAAAGGAACCATACTGCAGAAATAAAAGCGGCGAATATAAAAGTTGTCTGTAGCACCAGCGAAAGCCCAAATGGATGAGAAGCAATGTTGCAGAAAGCACATATACGAGAAAAGACGGCATGTGGTTGCAAAAAAGAACTGCAGAGAGGGGGGTCCAGAGCTGCAAACTGTATTGTCAAGTCCAGAGGCCCAAGCCGCAAGTCTCTTGTATGAAAAAACTGCTGCTGTAAAAGTTGTCTGTAGCACCAGTGAAAGCGCAGATAGACGAGAAGCAATGTTGCGGAAAGCACATATACGAGAAAAAGACGGCATGCGATTGCAAATAAGAACTGCAGAGAGGGGGGGTCCAGAGCTGCACACTGTACTGTCAAGTCCAGAGGCCCAAGCCGCAAGTCTCTCGTGTGAAAAAAATTGTTCCTGTAAAAGTTGTCTGTAGCACCAGTGAAAGCGCAAACAGATCAGAAGCAACGTGGCAGAGGGCACATATGCGAGAAAATACGGCATGCGATTGCAAATAAGAACTGCAGAGAGGGTCCAGAGCTGCAAGTGTGCTGTCAAGTCCAGAGCCAGGCCCAAGCCGCAAGTCTCTTGCATGAAACTTTTCCAAGCCCAAGCATCCTTTAACTGCGCGAAAAGATGCGTCCAGCCACCAGCTGCAGGGCACCATCGAGGCCGCTCTCCTGCACACGTCTGGAGCGCTTCTGGTCTCCCTCGCTGCACGCAGCAGGCCGGGCTTGGTGCTCCTTGAACTCCATCTTGAACAAAAGGTCTCCTCGAAGGTGGAAGATCGACTACTTGGTGACGAAGACGCTCACGTTGCACGTCCAGGTCCGTCTGCACAGCAAGCTTGGCAGTGAGCTCGTGAGCCTTCTCAAGCTGCAACACGCGCTTGGCGAGAGCGTCCAGCGTCGGCGCCATTGCTCTAAGCAGGCAAGTACAGTGCCCTATCGCACAGCACACAGACTGGAGCCTATCCTCACAGCCCGCACACCTGCCGCGGAGAGTCACGTTGAAGCAGCAGAGAATAGCTGAAAAAGACCACGCTCATGCGACAAACACAGCCAGGAAACTTGGATCAGCCACGCCCTCTACCATGAGCAGCACCGCCACGTCCTCGCCGACCAGCTCCACCAGCCGCACGCCCAGCAGCAGCACCGGCACGTCCACGACCTCTGACATCAACAGCACCGCGTCCACGACCACCACGTCCACGAACAGGTACACAAGGATTGACTCGGTTGAGGCGCCTGGCCAACTGAGCTGGAAAAGCAAAGACAACACTCTTGACCACAGCAAGGAAGACGGTGCGTTTGGTATTGAGTGTGATGCGTCGGCTGCGCCGGCTGCGCCATAGGCCGCGGAGGGAGCCAAAAGTTTTAGACGCCTGCCGAAGCCGCCTGCGAACGTCAGCAAGTTGGCCCAAGTCCGCGTCGTTTGACACACTGCCCAGGTACTCAAACTCGGTGATCTGCTCAACCTTGTCGCCGTCCACGAACAGTTCAAGATCCACAGCTCCAGTGGGCAGGAGAGCGGACTGTACACACATCCACTTTGTTTTCCCAATGTTAAGCTCGCCACCCCAGTCGCGTACTGTGTCTGAAAGAAGCTGAGCGGCACGACAAAGTTCAGACCAGGAGAGGTGAAGTGTGGCCAAGTCATCGGCGTAAGCAAGCTCGGAAATATGTATCTGCATGGCATCTTGTGAACCAAGGACACCAGCGCAAGTGCGAAAGAGGCCCGAGTCCTCCAGGTAAGCTACGTCCAGACCACTGTTTGCACCAAGCCTTTGCCTCCAGTCGAGCACGACGTAGTGGTAGTACAGGTCCCAGAGAGTCGCCTTGTCTTACGCCGGCGCCCATGCCAAACTCAGCGCTTAGGTGCCCGCGGTACTTCCCGCGAGACTTCATGCCCTCGTGCATATCCCGAACACGGTGAACAAGTCCGTCGGGCACTCCAAGACGAGTGAGAATACGCCACATGATACTGCGAGGCATGCTGTCAAAAACTTTGCAAAGGTCAACGAAAAGCACGAAGAGACCAGGAGGAGGCGGAGCTGCAGCAACGCGGGGTGGGTCAGCCTGCGCTGCGGGAGGCGGAGGCGTCGTCAGACGAACTTCCTCCATGAGGCGCCTAAGAACGTAAGTGGCATCAGCACTGCCCGAAGCCAACCTGCGACTCCGCAAGGACGTTCTCTGCAAGGGAGCGAAGTGAATCGTTGACCAGTGTCGCCATTACTTTGGAGAGCACGGGCAGCAAGCAGATGCCTCGCCAGTTGCCCAGGTCCGCGATGTCACCCCTGTGTTTGTAGAGAGCCACCATGTAAGAGTCGTGCCATTTGTCGGGACGACTTTGTAGCAAACCACTCCACCAAGCACAGACGTGAGGATGAAGACTTTCCGCCACAACACGCCGCACAGAACTATGCTTGTACAACTCAGCAGGCACACCATCTGGACCCGGAGCAGAGCAGTTTTTAAGACGTTTGATAGCTGCCTCCACTGCGTCCAAGCTGGGCGGAGTTCACACAGAAGGTGGAGGAACAACATTGTCCAAAACCGCGTTGACAGCGAACCAATTTATATGACGAGTAATATTGAGCACGCGTTCAAAGTGTTGAGCCATGTCGCGCAAGCGTTGTCCAAACCCGTCAACAGAGTGTGGATTGATCTGCTTCGGTAGAGCACCAAGCTGCTGACAAAGATGCCTGACACCAGAGAAAAGCGCCGAGGAGTCGTGCTTAGTGGCAGCATCAGCCACAGCAGCCGCTTGTTGAGACCACCATTCATTGACCATGCGACGTACTGCAGCCCGATTTGCCTTGCGGGCCTGGCGTAGACGAAGACAGGACTGCAGAGAACCATCTGCACAAACTGCGCCAAAGCCGCCACTCGTTCCCGAGCCAGATCACGAAGAGCATCACGGTGAGGAACCTGCCATTCACGTACACCAGGACTTTGTACATGACCAAAACACGTAGCACCCCGCATTCGTAGAGCACCGCAGGCAACTGTGCAGGAGTGAGGTTTGCAACCACCTTGCGCGAGGCCAAATTCGTGAACTCAACCTCGCTGCGCAGACGTTGGTGACCTAGAACACGTACAGGAGCAACGTCCAAACGGCGAGTCGGCTAAAGGAGACGTTCAGCAGGAGGAGCAGGAGCAGTCATTCGAGAGGTTCGAGCACAGGGTCGCTGACGCATGTCCAGAATGCCCAAAACGTGATCGGAATCTACGTCAATGTTCGGGTAGTGCCGACAGTTGGTTACAAAAGCAGCATCAACAGTGCGAACCAAGGCGTAGTCCAGAAGTCCCGGATTCCGACTGCCAAGGTGGTACCAGGAGGCTTTGTTGGCAACACTGTGGGGGAAGAACGTGTTGGTAATACGCAAATGCTCAGTCTGACAGAAATCCAACATCCTTTGGCCCATCTCGTTGCAAGCTCCTATCCCGTGGAAACCCAAAACAGAGTCTTGGTCATCGGCAGCTCGAGCACCAACAACACGAGGTCTGCAACCAACACGAGCGTTGCAGTCGCCAAGAACCACCACCATACCTGATGAGGACGTCTCAGCACGAACAGCCGCCCAAAAAGAGTCAATGTCGCCATCAGGAGCCCGAAAAGTGGGTGAGTAAGCCGAGATAAGCTTCACCGTGCCTTCTTTGCCACCCAAAGCTAAAGTGCAGGAGCAAACGCGTCCAGAGGGGTGCCCGACAGAGCGAGAGCCAGCAAGCTGCCACGCTGACGTGGCGCCGGGAGAAAGTAACAAAGCTGTGCCGCCTCTTGCACCAACGCCACTGGCAATGATTGTAAAACCATCTTCATAAATATGAGAGCCCTGGAAATCCAACCGTACTTCGGACAGAGCCAGAGCATACAACTTGTATTGCTGCATGTGAGATTTATAAAGCTCGACCTTGTGAAGAATATTGGTAGCAACCGAGCCGTCTGAAAGATCATCCAAAGAGCTGCGCAAGGTACGACAATTGAGAAAACCAAAACGACATCTCAAAAGCTGCTGACGCGCGAAACGTGCTTGACCATCCCCATAATTCCGCCCAAGGCCAGCAAAGCCACGGAACGTCATCCGTGCACCAGTCCGGTCAAACACAAAGCGGTTCGAAGAATACTGAAAATTGTGAGTAACCGTAAAATTGGAGTAGAGCCAGTGAGCTGGTTAGGCCTTGGCTCCTCATCCCCAGGACCAACGCATCACCGAACAACACGGAGTCGTCGACAAGGTGAGTTGCTGGCATCACCCCGGGTGGGACGTATTTATAACAGGTTAGTTCCCGCTCAGCTGCATGCAGCCAAGCCCCCGCCCCTCAGGGCTTAGTTTAGGGTTCAGGGTTTAGGGTTTAGGGTCAGGGGGACTTAGTAAATGGGTTAATACTGGGGCTAACTGGTGTTACTATATGGGTTATAGGGGTTATTGAGCTACTAGGTCCCCCTAATAATAAGGGTACCCTTTTTCCAACTATTCAGCTTTAATTAGGAAACCCCAAATTAAAAGGGAGAAAGGGTACTACTGGGGTATCTAGATTCAGTTGAGGACGACCCCCCAAAACAAGTCCTAACTTGGCTAATGCCAGCAAGTTCCTTTTGGATATTGTAGTCCGACAGCGTACGCCCATCTTCCAGCTGCTTGCCCGCGAAGATCAGGCGTTGCTGGTCGGGGGGGATTCCCTCCTTGTCCCTCGGATGCGTCGAACTTGCAGGGGTCAAACAACCAACCCCTACTAGCAATGCTCGCCTAAATGTAAGGCTCGTCTAATCATAACGAAGAATTGCTAAAAGAAACCGGGACACTGGATCTTGGCTTTGACATTGTCGATTGTGTCGCTCGCCTCAACATCCAAAGTGATCGTCTTGCCCGTGAGGGTCTTGACAAAGATCTGCATGGCTGGGCTCGAAGTTCGAATTGACAAAGCTTGGTGAGTTTGGGACAGGCTTGCCTGCTCTCACTTGATCCACAATGAATGCGGCAACGCATTTCAAGCTCCCTACTGCCAACACACGCGCAGTCACCTTTTGTGTGACACAACCATATGAGCTACAGTCTGAAGTCTTAGTAGCCCCCTTGACATCCCCCATAGTAGTCGACTATAGAATCCCCTATACAAGCCCCCTTTCAGGAGTTTATACTACAGCTCACAGCAAAAGAGCAGCCTGCGCTATTCTACCAAGTATTGGCCCTACTGCAGGTCCCGAGTTGGTGAAGAATATGTTCTGGACATCGTTGTCTACGAGTCCCTCTCAACAGCCACTTCCCACATAGAGCTGCCAAAGATCGTATAATCAACATAGGGGCGCCGGCGTTCAGTCGACAAAATAACGGAACGAATGTTCTAGCTCTGGGCAGCCAGTAGGTTTGCTGGCAAGACTCCATGCACCAGCCCTTCACCCTACACCCTGAACCCTAAACCCCCTAAACCCTAAAACCCTAAGTATGACAGGCCCAGGCTTCTGTAGATCCTGCCCTTGATCCAACTCCACCGCTGATCTTCAATGGAAACACAGGGGACCAGAAATCGAATCCTACAACTGCAATTCTGAGGTAAGGCCATTTCTCAACACAAGGATTCCTCTCTTGAAGCCTGCAAGTAAAGCAGGACACTTACAATGGGGACTCCTCTTATAATGGCCAAATGCCCAAGTTGAACCAGTGTTGCTTCAAGATTTTGGGATGGGTCAGGGTATTATTCCTTTTTTTTTGGGACGCGGATGAGAAGTGGGCGCCCTTTGAACAAGGATGTTGCTAGCTTGAAATGTAGAGTGGGCTGTATGAACTCGTATGACGTCTGCTTCTATACTGACTGGCCTGGCATGGACCTGGGCTTTGAAGAACAGACGTATACCCTAACTGCTAGACACAACCGTATGCTTCCTAAGCCCAAAACAGTAAACCCTACACCCAAAACCCTAGACCCTGAACCCTAACCCTGAACCCTAGACCACAAACTGAGCCCAAACCCACGACGAGCCCTTCTGCTTCCGCACAAAACAACATACACACCAAAGATACTACTTACTAGCGGGTAGCAGGGAAGAGGGGAATGTAATCGCATATAATCCGTATAGACTAGATTCCCTTATGCCCTACTAAGCACCAGTTAGACTACAAAAGGCTACACATTCAGACTTGGTTGTAACTTGATTGCTTTGACCCCAAATCACCCGACGCTTGTGCTCAATATCTTGAGGCGAGGAAACCTTGACCTTGCACCATTCCGTATACCTTCTACCCCGGCCTAGGAGATACAATATCCTGCAGCCCTAAACGGTGCAAGATATCCGGCATCCAAACCCTAAAAGCCCCCTAGACTCTAAACCCGAAACTCTAAGCCCTCGACCCCGAAACCCGAAACCCTAAGGACTAAACCCTTCCCACCCAGCTTCCCCTTATCACTAGCCTTCTGTGCCGAACGGTTTCAGGCCTTGGTGGTCTAGGGTTCTAGGGTATAGGCTTTAGGGTCTAGGTTCTAGGGTCTAGGGTCGAAAATCTAGGGTCTAGGGTTCGGGGTACAGCTCCCCTGAACCGCCAAGCAATCCTACCAACAACTTGGGACATGATACGGTGGATACTACAGATCCTGCATGGCCCTAAGCACCTTGCACCCTGGGAATTATGGTATTGTAGTCTATTAAGGTCATGCAGGATGTCTAGTATCAACAATAGGTCCTGATGATAGCGGGTGAAATCCTCTTACTAGGCATGCAAACACTGCCCCACACCCAGCACCCTACATGACATTCTGATGTGGCGACGGTCCTCGATCAACTGTCGGACTTGAACTGCTGGCTCCACACTTGGGAAAAAGCCTAGGGCTATTCTGTGGCTTGTAATGTGATAGATATGCGTACTAAGTCTTGCTGAGTACCGGAGACCTCCGAAGCAAGCCGTGCATCCAACTCTTTGACCCTAAGCGTAGCTTTTTTTTGTTGGGCGCTCTCGGGATTGGCAGACACAGGGACAGCTGCACTGAGCTTCATCGCTTCGACTGCCTGGTGCTTAGCAGGGAACGGGAAAATGGAAAAGCTAATGAGCTATAGTCTAAACTCCTAGTATCCTCCTTAATAACCCCGACAGTAATCCCCTATATAACCCCCTTTGAGGAATTTTGACTCTACCTCAACTGGGGCTCGAATTTTGGGACGTCAGGTTTGGGGTTCCACGCTTTAGGCTTTCTGTCTGGTGCTACAAAGGGAGTCGGGAAGTGGATACCCATAGCATTACCTATACAATCCTCCGAACCTAGACCCTAAACACCTAAACCCTAAACCCCCCATACTCACTTCCCCACTTCCCTTCACACCAGCAGGCGCAAGGTCTTGTGTTCAATCGACCCTAAACCCTAATCCACCCAAAACATCCAGGGGCAGACGGCTTTGGCCAACCAGGTGCGTCCCTCAGTTTAATGTTTCAGGCTATTCGCGTGCTTACATTTTAGGACTTAGGGAGTTGAGGGTTTAGGGTTTAAGTTTTAGGAGCGACCACGTTTAGCAAACGCGTAGAGTTTGATCATTTTTCGTTTGTGTTCAGCAAGGCGCAAACTTGCGGGGCTTTGTTTGCGGCTTGCTATTCATTATCCGCAGACAAACCGAACACAAACGCAAAATAAACCGTGGATGAGGCTGAAGCATGTGTTGGATGTCTGATGGTCCTAAACCCTGAACACCAGACCCTTTATCTATATCCTCAAACCTACTCCTTAGAACCTGTGCCCCACGCCCTAATCTAACAAGCTGGACCCTAGAACATCCTAAACCCTAAAGCAACTCTGGAAGGCGAAGAAGCGCTGCGGCTTATTGGTGCTTTAGGAGGATTGTGGGTAGGAGCGGAAAAGAAGTGCAAGCTACCATACCCCTAAACCCTTAAACCCCTAAACCCTTAACCCAAAGCCCGAAGGGGGGTCTAGGGCTTGGTTTGGTGCCTTCAGTTTGGTGCTGACGGGGAGTGCGCAGCGAGTGGAAAAGAAAGGAGAAACTGCTATGATACGGGCCCTACCTGCGGCTTAGGGTTTAGTGCTTAGGGTTTAGGGTTGCGAGATGGGAATGGGAATGTGTCGTAAAGACTACTGGAAGGGATTGCATATGTGGACTGCTATCGGGATACATGCTGCAAGCTGTCAAAATAATTTCACGTGTATTATCCTCAGTACAGGGGACCCAAAAAGCTTCTCATATTCCTCACATGTCCCAGTGGGCCGTCGGCGACCCATTTAAGAAACTCCCATTGCCTCATGCGCTACTGAGCACCAAGTCTCAAGTAGCACAGACTGGTTTCAGTCTGCCATTGAGGGTTCGGGAATTAGATGCACAGGGCGTTTTCCCATAAGAAGAGCACAGCGTTTCCTATAGTAATTCTCTGATAGGAGGATCTGAAACGTGGACCTAGTTCAGGGTTTGGTCTGATTTCATCTTGTGCTGCTTCTCCATTAGGCGCTCTGATCGAACTCTCATCCCAACTGTAGTGTCCCTAGGGTTCTTCTGCCCACGGTTAGGACTTGACTGCCCGTGATTCAAAACATGACTTCACCCACCTTTGAGTTGTGCGAGTCATGCAGAAACTGGATATCTAATCAGGGTCACTGGAGGTAACATTACAGAAGTAGAAATAAATATCTTCTTACTCTGAAGTAGGTAATAGAACTTCTTAGAATGCGCAAGTCATTTCCCACAACGACCCAAGAGTTATTCATCAGCGTCCCATGCTTTCCAAACCTTGCCACTACCTGCGTCAGCAAGCCCCCATCGTATGAGCCGGCCAACTTCCACCATCTGCTGGAGGCTATCCATAGCACTCCAGGATGCCAACAGACCTGACCCTGGGTCAAAAATAAGTGCTTGCAGCTCCGCGTTAAAGTCGTCGATGTTTCTGCTGTTCTTGATCTCTTTGATAATAAGCTGCTTGTCCGTCTCAGAGGATGCCTGCATGTTCCGAACATCTAAGTTTTGCAGTGTTCGAGCTCTCTGCTCAATGGTTGCCTTCGACGCAACCTTTAGTGGTTGCTTCATTTGCAGACGATTGGCTTCTGCGATTTCGGCGACACACCAGGCACGGTTGAACAAGTCAAAAGCTCTGTCAACTGCAATGACTTGCCTGCAGCCACCTGTCGATGCAAGATGATACATCATGTCAACGAATTTGTTGACCTCTGAAGCGGTACTTTTGCCATGCGGGTCGACAATGTTGGTGCAACTGCAATTGCAAACTGGATACAGCAGATCTGTCAGAGGGTCACGGTCGTATGGATTTGTGTGGCATATGCTCATGTGCTGATTCACTGCAAAAGCACAAATCCAATACCTGAATCTGCCGTTCTCTAAGGTTAAAAGTATGGGCCCCTAAAAAGGCCTTTCAGGGGTGGTTCTAGGAACCCTTCAGATTACTTATAGGGCATACAGTTGGTATACAAGGATTCCAGGGTTCAGGGCCCATACTAAAGGGCGCATGGTTACAGCCTTGGATGTTCATGGGGTTAACAGGTTGTCCTACAACAGGCAAAAATGGATCCTAAACCCTAAAACCTAAACCCTAAAAATTCTGTTCAAGACCTTCGCAAGAAACGTGTCATCCAGGCGACCACTCCTAGCCAAAATATCGCAGAGAAAGGGGCAATCATCTTCCAACCTGGCTGCTAGGGAACTTGGGGTTTGAGGCTCAGGGTACTTTAGGGTACACAGAATGGAGAATCACGTGGCACAATGAAAATGAAATGGGAGCTGGGGTTCTAAAAGGGCTATGTTCAGTTAAGAAACTTAAACTTAAACTAAGCTACCATAAAAGTAAAAGCTTGCTTTTGACTATGTCTCCTTGTATGGTAAACTACTCGAGTGATCCGGGCATTTCTCCGAATCGTCCCTACGTAATCTGTGAAAAGGACCCCCACGATCCCCCTCCAGGCCTTATACATTTTGGCGCACCCCCCCCCTTTGAGAAACTCTCGTTATGCCTTAACCCTCTTTCACAAGTGAGCTATAGTCTAAACTCACTCCTAGTATCCCCCGTAATTACCCCTATAGTATTCCACTATATAATCCCCTACATAACCCTCTAAAAGGAGTTTAGACTATAGCTCAATTGAGCTTCTTAACAAGGGCCCAGCAACAGCTGCCCTGCCAGCTTGAAACTGCATTCTTGCAGCGCATCCGACACGACAGCTGCGAGAAGATCCTGAAATATGTTGCCCCAGTTGTGGGTCACCATGACCTGGTACCCTACTTGGAGGGTCAGGGGGACTTAGTAAAAATCTGTTAATCGTGGGGATATATAGGGATAATGGAAAAGAAAATGGAAACTACTATTGAGGGTTTAGGGTGTTGGGGTTGGAGGGTCAGGGGGACTTAGTAAATGGGTTAATAATGGGGATAACTATGGTTACTATATGGGTCATAGGGGTTATTAATCTACTGCCTAAGTCTCCTTGACCCTCCAAGTAGACATTCGGGTTTCGGGTTCCAGCGATTTTCCGTGTTGTTTCTGAGGCTCCTTAAGGAAGGAAGGACCCAAAGAGTGAAGGAGACAGGGTGGGAAGCCCATGTTTCGAGAAATTGCCACCTCGGCCCTTCGAGGACCATCCGTGTTCCATTGCGAAGCTGCATATGGACATTCCTGCCTGCTGGTGATTGGAATTATCACGCTTCGGACCACATCTCTGGTCTTATGAACCTTGGCGGAGTATCCGCCGAGAATGTGGCAGAGGTGTTGCTGGTAGAAATGCAAAAGGCTCCGCAGGGTCATCCCACGCAATGAGAGCTCTTCGACTTTTGCTCTCCAAGGAGGGCTCCATGCAGTCTCACGTGCCGGCACTTCGCTGCGCTTCGCGAGGCAACAGAACTTACCTGGGCTTCAGCTGGGTCACTCTTAAACTGAGGTACTCTGAAAAATGTTGTTTCTCATTCTATATTGGGTGTTCGTGTTTAAGCTGGCTCAAACCGCTATGCAATGGATACTAAGATACGCTGTTCGACTCTGCTTCGTCGCCTGTCTGCGAGCTGTTCAACTCTGCTTCGTTGCCTGTCTGCAATGTGGCTGTCTGCATGCAATCTGTGGCTGCCGGACAGGAGAATCACGGCGGCCGCGTTTCCCAAAAAATCCAACGCCATCAGTACATTCAGAATGTACGCTTGAAAGGTCGGAACCCAGCCATGTCTGGTGAGATGAAAGTACGCAATGCAAAGGGATGCAAATGCTAAAGTTGTGAACATGAGACTGGACGACACGCCTATCACCTGTGCAGCAGCCAGTCGTTGAGCCCGTCTCAAGGAAGACCTCACGACAAAAGAAACGTTGTCAAGCTTTGCAACGCGCAGAACCCTTCGCAACTGCAGGAAGGATTGTGTGAGCCCATAGATGGCCACCATGCCTGGGTTGCTGTTGAGGAACTTAAATTAAGTTACCATAATGGGTATATATAGTAAATAATAAGGTTTCCCCAATATGGTAACTTAATTTAAGTTCCTTAATAGCAACCCAGATGCTTGCTAGCATGTTGCACAACCAGGTCGACACAGTTGTCAGACCTGCAGATGCTGCCAGTCCCTCAGCCGGAGCATACACGAATGAGTCGGACAACCGCCACACCGCGTAGCCACAAGATAAGAGCGTCTGAATCGTGAAGCTGACGGCTTGAACCCCAATGAGCTTCCAAAACCACTTGCTGCAAAAGTTCTGATGCGAGGACTGCTCTAAGAGAGCAAGTCTCTCAGCGATAAGCATGTGCATCCAGAGCAAGACAACACCGTAAGCAACCATTCGGAGGAAATCGATTGCTACGATCCAATACCTGGATCATCGTTGGGGTTGAGGGTTTGGGGTCAGGGCTGCAAGGGTGTTCTAGGGGCCCTGAGGGGTAGATATAAGGTAATTGGTAGTCCCTAAACCCTAAACCCTAAACCCCTAAACCCTAAACAGTAGTTTCCCCAAATAGGGGGGCCCTAACCTAGACCCCAATCTTCTCTAAGTCTTATCATTGGGCCCGTGTCTTTAACCCTTGGGTCGAATGACTTCCTGGTTTTTGGTAGCGGTTTAGGGTTTAGGGTGCAGGGTTGAGGGTAGGGAATAAGGGAATATACGATATAGAGATTATCTTCCCCTATTCCTTACTAAGAAGCAGTAAAATGAAGGTGATACTCTCCATGGGCTCTTGGTACTACTTTTTGATTGAACTAAAGATTATTTCCAACAATGACACAGCTACAGTCTCAAACTGTGGCCATATATGACCACGCCATAGTTGCACTGATCCAAATTCAGGAAGTTCATTGCGCACAGAACGGATTGAATCCAGTTCGTGATGGCATAGCCCCAGGCTGACCTTGCATGAATTGAAGCTCCAGCCCTTTTGTAGAGAAAGGCTGCCAAACAACTGGCTCCGAAAGCTGCCAGCATCAGTCCTAAAAAGAACCATTTGTCAGAAGCAGAGCACGACGTGTAAGCCAGCTCTTGGGCATCCCAAGGAAACAGCACAGCTGTAGCTGCGGCATTCGTCATGAAAGCAACAAAGTATGCACCAGGCCACCACCACTTGGCATCCTTCGAAGAGCCGTCGGATGCATGGGACAATGTCGAAGTTTCAGAAGTGTCATCAGAACTCTCTGCACTTGAATCTGCCATTGCATTCTCTGAGGTGGGATCTGCCATTGCTGGGCTGCTGTTGAGGAAGTCAATCTACCATAAATATAGACCCCTCCAAAATCTAGCAAAAATCCTCTTTCTCCCCCCAGATGGCAGCTCGGCTTTAATTCCTTAACAGCAGGAGAGTGGATCATGATCAGCTTGCCAGACTAAGTGGTGCTGCATCGGGAAGGGGAGAATAAATGAGAAGGATGATGATTGGGATCATATGGGGGGTTCTTCAAAAAAAGGAGTACCGTTGGGTCAACAGAATGAAGACTAAACTACATTGGGGATCCCCCCATGTACGGGAACTACCGTATGTACCTTAAGGATAGCGCCGTAGATGTTGCTCTTACGGGAGCCATGGGCTAAACTCCTGGTATCCCTTTTGATAACCTCCACAATACTCCCCTATATAATCCCCTATATAATCCCCCTTGAAAGAGTTTAGACTATGCCTCACGTGAAGCGTGCCAACCGTGCTGGACACTTTGTCCGACCTGAGGATTTCGCAAGACCTCGCTAGCTGGAGGAGAGCCTGCGGATATACGCCGTTTAGGCTTTAGGGGTTAGGGGTTGGGGTGTAGAGTTTTGGGTTTAGGGATTAGGGGTTGGGGTGTAGAGTTTTGGGTTTAGGGTATACAGTTTAGGGCTTAGGGTGAATATCCAGGCCCCTTTTCAAGATCGTTTAGGGTCTGTTGTCAGGAACTACGAACAGCCGCGCAGTCGATCGTCTGGGTTGGCAGACACGTGGACCTCCATACTTCAAAACAAACTACACCAAATTCCAAAGCCTTCACCCGGTGCAACTATTTGGGGCTACTTTCTATATAGACCACCGTTTAAGGGATGTAAGTCGGTAGTTGAACAAAATACAATTATGTTCGTCTTACAAAATACTCAACCAAAAATGCGGATGGAATCTTACTATCTTGTGGGCTACAGAATCCCCAAATGAAACATGTGGTGAGGTTGGGTTTAGAGTTTAGGGTTCGGGGGATTCAGGTTTGCCTCATGCTTCAGGCATAGCGCCTAGAACCCTTGAGCCCTCATCTGGTTCCTTAATGGAATACTTGCGTTTAGGAGTTAGGGTTTAGGGTTTAGGGGATACTCTCTCTTTCTGTACTAGATGTGGGAGTCGTAAGAATCGACAATGTTTCCAACAGGTTCCACAATGACGTCTCGTGCCAGGACAGATTTCATATTGGGCTCTTTGATGTGATAACAACTGAAACTGCTTCCGAGAATCACCGGGTTTAGTGTATTAAGACGTAGAACTCATTTTGAACAGTGACCCTTGACCCCCTAAACCCTAAACACCTAAACCCTAAACCCCTAAAACCTAAACTTAAACCCTAAGCTCTAAGCGCCTCAACCCTAAACCCCAAACCCTAGTTCACCATCCCCATAGCCTGGGAGCAGAAGACCAAACTGGGATCCGACCCTATGTGTTTACGAGTTTAGGGTTTAGGGTTAAGGGTTTAGGGGTTGGGGTTTGGGGTTTAGGGGTTGGGGTTTGGGTTTAGGGCATATGGGCCAATAATGGACCATCAAATGGGAAAGAAAATGGAAAATGAAATGAAAACTGGGATTATATAGGATGTAGAAGGGTTATATTCTAGACTCCTAGTATCCCCGTTAATCAGCCCCCTGGATAGGGTTTGGGGTTTAAGGTTTAGGGTCTAAACTCTAGTATCCCCCCAAATAAACCCCGGAATAGGACACTACATAATCTTCTATATAGCCGATTTTAATGAGTTTAGACTATGGCTCACATGGGCATTTCCCAGAAAGTGTTCACCCTTGCAGAAACCCAAAAAAGTACTGGCCCTCTCATGTGGGCTGCCAAGGAAGGACTCCAACCCTGCATTGCACACCCCAGACACAGAACCTTAAACTCCTAAAGACATTTCAAATAAGGTTTAGGGCTCAACGTCCCCCATACCATGGCCCATGACCCTACAAAAGCCCGCTCTCCCCTTATGGTAGGATTGTTGAAGAAGACTCTCCCCAATTGGACACCCCATATCAGGGGTTTAAGTTTAAGGTTTTGTGAACATGTTCCTAAGGAACCCAGACTCTAAACACTAAACCTTAAACACCCACTCAAAACCTAATGTAGGCCCGTGATTAATGAACCTGCTCCTTTTGAGGGCCCTAATATTAGGATCACTATCATAATCTCTATGAAGGGGAGGGGGTTTATGAATCACGGGTGTACATTACAATGAACCCTACCTATTAAGGGGAGGGGGTTTATTAAACACCGGTCTACACTACAATGAACCCTACCTCAGCCCCAACCTCCCCAGTGCCGATGGAAAGAAGTAGCCTCACGAGCCCGCAGCCACCATGGGCACTTTCAGGCGCATGGCTGCTTATACGTGGAGTCATATGTAAGATATAGTCCCCCTTAAGTAGATAGAATATAGCTTTGAGGTACATTATAAGAACCCCATATACCCCATATTCTATCTACTTAAGGGGGACTATAACTGCATGTATGGCCATGTTGAAAACCACCTAAACCACCAAGCAGCTCATCATGGCTCGAGGCCCGTCTGCGAGGAGCTCCGTGATTTCGATCGCGGTCCCCGGTGCTCGTGTTGCATACACACTAAACATTAGTCTTTATAGTCTAGGGTTACCTCTGGTGGGCGGCGAGCGAGGCCTCCGGGATTAAGATCAAAACGGGATTCTTGCGTGGGCTTGAGCCTCACAAGCTGCACGTAGCCAGAACTCAAAGCGCATAGGGGAGATGACCACAAGAATTACCCAGGGAGCCCAATACCCTTTGCTTACGGAATATTCCTTAAATCATATTCGGGATCCTAGTATCATTTAGGGTAGACTCTTTGATTGAGACATTTAGGGCTCTCTGGGTATGGGTTAGGGATTCCATCAGGACGCCAGAATGAGCACGCACGATTTTGCACTTGCCAGGTGACGAGCCATTCGAATTCATGATGCAAGCAGATGAGAGTTTTCAAAGCGAGGGTTTCCCAAAATTAGGGGCACCTGTAATGCGGGCTAGAGGGGCTATGTAGGCTTATATGGGTAGGGCTTAGGGCTTAGGGCTAAGAGTATTTTTGAGTGAGGTCTTTTGGGCTATGATATATAGGGATCATGAAACAGTAAGCAGGAACAACTGTTTAAGGTTTCTGATTTAGGGCTTCACCAAATTAGGCTAACATTTTGGGGGGGTTGCCCAGAATAAGACTTATGGTCTTTTGGGGGCTATATTGGCGTTTCCCGGTTTATGGCAACTACCAACTGGAGTCCTTTGTTCGGACGGCAGCTTTTCAAAAACAAAATTGCAACGCGCAATATATACATATATATATATATACAGAGAGAGAGAGAGAGAGACCCAAATTTCAAAACAAGGTTTCAGTGGTCCCATCTGTTGGAAACTCCCAAATGGCATTGAATCAATTCCTCGTTCAGCTGTGCAGGCGATGGCTGAAAGGCTTTTGGAGATTCGGGGTTTCCAAGCTCGGCCATGTCTTTTTCAGGATTTCGACTTCCAAGCTTCAGAGAAAATATAGAAAAATCCAATGCAGCATACAGGATAAGAGGTTTAACAATGGGGGCTTCAAAGGTTTCAGTTTAGTACCTAGGCGGAAGGGCAACAGGATATTTTATCCGAAAACGCTTTCAGTCAATGTGACGGTCGCTGCAAAAACATGCTGAAAAATGGATCAAGCACTCACCTTACTGGGCTGATGTCTTGCACAACTTGTCTCACCATCCGCAAAAATGAAACTCTAGGATGATTTAATAGCTACTTATCGTACTATACATCCCCGGATCCTGCACCCACCTCGAGACCCTAAAGGCTTTCAGCTGACGCCCTTCCGACTACAGCGCGTCGCATTGTGCTCCATGGCGCAGGACAGACTTCATCAGGAAGTCACGTGTGTAGATTTTATTGGCAGCTGAGCCAAGTATCGCAACCCAATGGATTCGCCAATGGATAACAAAATCTTAGCACACAGACTGATGGCTATCGCATGCCTGTTGAAACACTACTCGTTTGGATTGGTTTTTGCTTTCGCCACAGACGCGCGGTCGATTTGCCACGGAACCCAGCACCGTGCACCTTACACCCCAAAACCGAAGCCCTAGACCGTAAGCCTTGAACCTCAAGCACTCCAGAGACCCCCA